AAAGTTCTTGATGAAATGCCTATATTCAACCTCTTTTCTGTCTCTGATCCTCAACTTGAATCAAGTGTGTTACCAGTTGATGATTTTCTAAACATTAATAAAAATGTTGCTGCTGAACAAATTCCAGTTGAAGAGGTTTCTATATTTGATGATTTCTTGGGTGCTGATCGTGCAAAATTAGTTGTTGAAGATGTTTTGCAAAAGATTAATTTAGAAGAGATTTATGATAGTGAGCCTGCTAATGATGCACAAGATTTGAATGCTGAAAAAGGAATAGCTACTGCTGAAGATATTCCTCCTACAGATGCCCCTATTGATCATGAACAAGTTCCTGGATCACCAACTGCTCTTGGTGGAAAAATATCTTCTGTTGGTTCCGTTCCTGAATTTAATCCATTGGTTATAGTTCCATTCAATCCTATTGTCTCAAGTCAGGACATTGTTTCAACTAGCCAAGACAATATTATAAATGTGACAAGTCAAGACATTTTTCAGAGTCTTGAAACATTTGCTTCACTTCCAAGTCAAGATTTGGTTTCAACTGAGGTTATTTTGTCCAGCCAGGAGATTAATCCATTTGAGATTGTTGTGTCAAGTCAGGATATTGACCCAACTTAGGAAATTTCTGAAGATTGTATTGCTCTTTCTACTCAAGAAAATACCCAACAAATTTCTGAAGAGATTCATCCTGAAACTCAAAAATTTCTTGATGAAATCAGAGAAATTCAGAGAAGTGATAAACCTACTGCTTCTCAAAGAAAGTTATCTGCCAAATCTGCTACCTCTTCTGATCTTACCAAAAAAAAGTCTACTCAGAAAAAGAATCCTCAGAAAAAGTCTTCCACTCAGGATAAAGGAAAAAAGAGAGAAAGAAAAGAAGTTCTGACCTCATTTGTGGCAGGTTGCACTCCTGAAGAATCTATGAAAATACTTAGAGAAAAATTTGATGAAGCTGGGATGGCAGATGGTGAGGAGATTAAAATTTTTGATGATAGTGCAGTTCAATTTGCTGAATTAATTAGCTGTGATATTGACTGTGGTGCACATGGTGGTTATAAATTACAGTTAATATCAAAATTTATGAGGCTTAATTGCAAAAGAGTATCAACAATGAGGAGCTTACGGTTGATGGTTGCAGATTATTGTTTTGTTCAGAAATATTCTGGAATTGATATGTCGTAAGTTATTTTACCTTTTTACTGTTTAATTATTATATTATTCTGGAGTTAATTATGCTGGTTACATGTTATTGTTACTGATTTTTGATAATCATGGCTATTACTTGAGGTTACTTGTATTTTTGCTTATTTGTAAATTTATGTTACTTGTACTATTTGTTACTTGTATTTAATTACTTGTATTAATAGTTACTTGTATTTTTGTTTACTTTTATTTGGATTACTTGTATAGTGGCTATTTTGATAAGTACTGGCTATTTTGATAAGTATTGGTTACTTGTATTTAGGTTACTTGTAATGAGGTTACTTATATTACATAGTTTATATAGATGTTACTTGTATTATATGGTTACTTGTATTATAGTTACTTGTATTTTGTACATATAATAGTAACTTGTATTATATGGTTACTGGTATTATTTGGTTACTTGTATTACATAGTTTATATAGACGTTACTTGTATTATGGTTACTTGTATTCTGTACATATAATAGTAACTTGTATTGTATGGTTACTTGTATTGAGGTTACTTGTATTACGTAGTTTATATAAAGGTTACTTGTATTACGTAGTTTATATAAAGGTTACTTGTATTATATGGTTAATAGTATTATAGTTACTTGTATTATAGTTACTTGTTACTTGTATTGTATGGTTACTTGTATTGATGTTAATTATATTATATGGTTACTTGTATTATAGTTACTTGTATTATTATGTAATTTTTATATAGTCAGAGGTTACTTGTATTAAATGTGTTACTTGTTATTGTAGACTTGTAACTATTCTAATAATTGTGATTACTTGTTATAGTGCATTATGGTTACTTTTATGGTTTTGAAAAATTTACTTTGTTTCTTGTAGGTTTTATGTGTTACTTGTAAATTCTGGTTATCTTTCTCTTACCTATTTATTGTTTATGGTGAAACAGGGAGATTCTCGTGTATTATAATGAGTACTACAATTTACCTAGAGAAGAATTGTTGACATTGTTTCAGAAAGAATTAATTTCAAGTCGAATTTTGGACTGTTTTTTTATCTTGCTGAATTATGTTGAAGTTAGACAAAATAATGATAAACCAAGATTCTTTTTTGGTGGTGAACATATGGTAATTCTTTAATACTTTTAACTAATTTTTAAATTTTTAATTTATCTTTCTATTTGAAATTGTTATATTTGTTTTTTGTATACAGTTGCCTCTTTTGCGTTGTATATATAATGGAGAAGACTGCATATATGAGAATGAAGTGTTCGGAGCATGGGATATGTGGACTGAGTCAGTTCAATGTTGTGAATTAGTAGATGCATTGCTGGTATGATTTCATTTTACTGTTTTGATTTTGTTTCTTGGAATTGATCGATATATTTGTACAAGATAGTTAATTTGAAAGTTGTTTTTGTTTTTTGTCTAGATATTCCTACCAATCTATTACGGCAATAGTTAACTTGAAAGCTATTTTTGTTTTTTGTCTAGATATTCATACCAATCTATTACGGCAATCATTATTCAGCTGTTGTCATCAATTTCTACACTCAAACTGTTGATTATTTGGACAATAAAACTTATGCAATGCGTGTTGAAGTTGAAAACAAAACAAAGAAAGGGAAAGATGCTAATAAAGAGGGTGCTAAAAAATTCAAAATCACTACAAGTTTTGATGAATTTCACACTGAGTATTATACTATCACATGGTATTTGGTAAGTTGTATTGATTATTATTGTGGTTACTTGTATTGATTATTATTGTGGCTACTTGAAATTCTAAGTTATTTATTGCAGTTACTTGTTTTGGTTTTACTGTGGTTACTTGTACTATTACTGTAATTACTTGTACTGTGTTTTACTTGAAATTTTGATTAATTTATTAAATATATTTGTTTAGTATTACTGTGGTTACTTGTACTATGTTTTCTTAATAAAAATGGAAATTATGGTAATTGATTAACTGGAATTACTTATATAGGATAACTTGAAATTATTTAATAGAAACAAAATGCCATTGTTATTGGTATATTTTTTTTTTCCAGAGGCTTTATATATCTAAATATCTGGTTCTAAAAGGCCATGATATTGGAGAATTTGTCAAGGATTTCCAAATTCGTATGATTGCACTTGATTCTCAAAAGTGTGCTTCTGAAACAAATGATTATGGAGTTTTTTGTATGTACCATTGTGCTACATATGAAGGGAAACCTTTTAAATGTAAAAGTTTGACTTAGGTACTTGTCTTTTTACTTTTTATTTAATTTTATTTTTTACTTTTATTTGATATACTATTTATTTTTGTAAATGTATACTGTTTTATAGGCATTGGAGAGGCGTCGTTTTAGAGCAGAAATACGTGCATCTCTGGTTTTATGCAATTTGAATTTAAGACGACCTAATGTTTTGCAATGTGTGAATGATTTTTGTGAGAACAATGAAGAGATTTATGTTGAAGTTATTCTTAATGAGAAAATTGCAATTACTAATAGTATGGTTCAGCAAAGTAAGAAGGCGAAGAAGACTAGTCTATCTAAAAGCCGGAGAAGAAGTTTACCGATCAAGAAGAACAAGGCTAAACAGGGGAAAAAATTGTTTTCTGACACAGAAGAAGAAGATGGCAGGGAGAAAAATGAAAATGATAAAGAGAAGGAAGAAGCAGCAGTTCTGATTGCTGCAACTATAGCTGCAGAAAAAATGGCAAAGAAGATTAAGGCTGCTGCAAAGAAGTAAGGAGTTTTGAAAAAAAAAATTCATCTAGTAATATTGAACAAATTTTATTTAGTAATTTTGTAATTGAATAATTATATTTAGTATGACAATCTTTTATTTTTATTACTTTGATCATGTTTTATTTGAATATGAATTTGAATAATTATTTCAAATAGTCTGTTACTTAAATATAAATTTGTGTCTGGTTGTGAATTATACTTGTTAATCATAATTACTAGTTTACTATACTTGTAAAACGAGTATTACTTGTATTCTTGGTTAACTTTTTAATTATTATTGGTTACTTGTAATGTTTAAGTTATTAGTAGTTATATGTTACTTTTAAGTTAGGGGTTACTTGTTAGTGATTAATAAAGGTTACTTGTAAGTGATAAAGGTTACTTGTATGAAGAATAGGAGTGAGGAGGGTTACTTGTTATGCATATTATTTATAATAGGAAGGTTACTTGTATTTTATATTTACTTATATTTTATGATTACTTGTATTTTATGGTTACTTATATGTTGCTGTTACTTGTATTTTTATGGTTACTTGTATTGAGGTTAACTGTATTTTTATGGTTTCTTGTTTTGAGGTTACTTGTATTTGATTACTTGTATTAGTTGAATTATTTTTATGACTTATGTTACTTGTATGACTCCTGTTACTTGTATTTGTTAGGTTACTTGTTATTAGTTTACTTGTAAGAATTCTGTTACTTGTATGGAACATAGGAAGGTTACTAGTTACTTGACTTAGGTTATTTGTATTTATATGAAGAATAGGAGTGAGGAGTGTTACTTATTATGCATATTATTTAGGAAGGTTACTTATTATTTAGGTTATTTGTATTTATATGAAGAATAGGAGTGAGGAGTGTTACTTGTTATGCATAATATTTAGGAAAGTTACTTATTATTTAGGAAGGTTACTTATATTGATAAAAGAAGGGTTACTTATATTTATAATAGGAGGGTTACTAGCATTTATATGAATAATATGTATCACTTAATAATTCAAAATGTCTATAATTTAAAAATTAAATAATAAAATGTAAGTCAGAGGACGCAGAGGTCACTTAAAAATTGTAAGTCAGTAATCTGAAATATCACAAACAATAGGACACTAAAATAACTTTGGGTTTTGAATTGGAGTTATAGTTCCAAATTCTCTAGCATTTCCTTTGGCTTGCATTGCTCTTGTTTTATTTGCTTTTGGTTGCTTTCCTTTCTCAAAGTGCCCTTTTATTCTTTTGCTTCTTCCTTTTGTGTTTGCTTTTTCTGGATCCATGACTATAGGGATTTCTGAATCTGGTGACACTTCTTGCTGATCAGCTGAAGTTTGCTGTTGATTACTTGTAGCTTCCTCTTGATCAGATGAGGTTTCCTTCTCCTTGTTCTTTTGCAATTCCTTTTTGAATTCATCTGCATTTTCTTGCATCATTTTAAAATGTGCTTCTACCATGTTTCTTGTCTCTTTATGATCTTGACAGTTTATAAGTAGATTGTAGCTTCTTCTAACCATTGTGTGACGCCAAGGCATTAATTTGTCTGACTGAGATTCTTTTTCTGCAGCATCATCATCTTTTTTTTTTCCAAACATGTGCTTTTGCCATTTTAGACCATCTTGATGAAATGTATAAGCTAGGAATTCTTGTCACATTATGATGATGCAAGATTTTGATACAATGATAACAAAGCCAACCAATTTCTTCAAAATTCTTGCAAGAACATGCTATTTTATTCTCTGCTTTGTTAAATGTAACCTTTTGTCTGCTACTATCATCATATTCTATCTGCACCTGATAAAAGTAAAAATCTCCCACAGTAGCATGAAGATAGGTTATGCATCCAATTGAATGCATGAATTCTGTTTCAAAATATCTGAAAATGGTTTGAGTATATACTTTTGAAGCATGCTTAAGTAATCCAATAAAAGGAATACTTGAAGTTGGGTTTGAATTTGAACATTTAAAATCAGCATCTGACTCATTCTTTCTCCACCTCTTCACCGTTTGATTGAAAATTTTCAAGAAATCAGTCAAGCTTGTGTTTTTGTTGGCTTTAAACCCAACTGCATTTTTTGCACTTTCACTTCTTTGTGATGATAGTATACCAGCAGAAAAAAAGTCTTTACTTAATGTTGTACACCATTTTTCTCTCAAACCATACAACCTTTTAAACCATTTATTGTTTTCAAGTTTGTATTTGACAATCATTGAATCCCAGCATATCTGTAATTTCAGATTTATAAGTAAAGGTTAAGAATACAAGTAATTAAGAAGAAAAGTAAATTAATAGTTACTTCTTTAAATTATAAATAATGGTCCCGTGAAGAATACAAGTAATTAATAATTGTAAATTTATAAGTAATATTCACTTGTAACTATAATTGTAACAGCATACAAGTAATTGTAAATTTATAAGTAATATTCACTTGTAACTATAATTGTAACAACATACAAGTAATTGTAAATTTATAAGTAATATTCACTTACAAGTAATATTCACTTGTAACTACTTTTATTACATAGTTTATAGAGGTTAATTGTAACACATAATTTATTTAGATGTTACTTGTATTATATGAGTACTTGTATTATGTTACATGTAATAGTTACTTGTTATTTGTATTTTATGATTACTTGTATTACATAATTTTCATAGAGGTTACATGTATTTTGAGGTCACTTATATTTTTTGGTTACTTGTATTGAGGTTAATTGTATTTTTATAGTTACTTGTATTGAGGTTACTTGTATTTATATGGTTACTTGTATTGAGGTTACTTGTATTTTCTATTATGGTTACTTGTATTGAGATTACTTGTATTTTACGGTTACTTGTATTATTTTTATGGTTACTTGTATTGTGGTTACTTGAATTGAGGTTACTTGTAATTTTATGGTTACTTATATTTGTATGGTTACTTGTATTTTTATGGTTACTTGTATTATATTGTTAGTATTATAGTTACTTGTTACTTGTATTATATAGTTACTTTATTTGAGGTTACTTGTATTTCATAGTTTATATAGAAGTTACTTGTATATAAATGTTACTTGTATTTTTATAGTTACTTGTATTTTTATGGTTACTTGTATTATATTGTTAGTATTATAGTTACTTGTATTTTTATATATGTAATAGTTACTTGTTACTTGTATTATATAGTTACTTTATTGAGGTTACTTGTATTTCATAGTTAGGTTATTTGAATTGAGGTTACTTGTATTTTATGGTTACTTGTATTTTTATGTTTACTTGTATTTTTATGGTTACTTGTATTATATTGTTAGTATTATAGTTACTTGTATTTTTATATATGTAATAGTTACTTGTTACTTGTATTATATAGTTACTTTATTTGAGGTTACTTGTATTTCATAGTTTATATAGAAGTTACTTGTATATAAATGTTACTTGTATTGATGTTACTTTTATTAAGAATATAGTTATAAAGGTTACCTGAAATTCTTCCTTTGTAACACATCCTGAAAGGCATTTGTTAACTGCATCTTTGAATGAGGTATCTCTTTTCAGTGCTCCAAACCTTGATACAGCATTCTTTATAAGATGTCAAATACATAATCTATGTCTTGAGTGTTTAAAGACCTGCAAGATTATAAGTATATTTTATTGTTAATATTTTTTTTTTTTGAAAGAGATTATTTTATTGAAATTATAAACTTGTTCACAAATTACCTTTTCAATAGCTTTAGACATTGCCAAGTCTTGATCTGTAAATATTGAAGCAGGCTCACTACCTCCCATTGACTTCTTAAATGTTTCTAACACCCACTCAAAAGTTTCTATTTTCTCATCAGCAATAAAAGCACATCCAAACATTACATTCAGCCAGTGATTGTTGACACCAACAATATATAGGTGCACAAATAAGATTATATTTGTTCGTTCTATATGTTGTATCAAACACAACATCTCCATAAATTTGAAAATCTTCCTTCATTTCAGAATCTCTCCAAAAAATAGCATTTAGTTTGTTTTGGTTTTCACCACCTCCTAACTTGAATCTGAAATAGAAATTTAGATGTCATTTGTTTTTGTAATATGTGTTACTGATATTAAAAAATGAAGAAGTTAATGGAATTTATGAAGAAGTTAATGTAATTTGAGTTAAGTAGGCATTACCTGAAAAAGAAATCTTCATCTTCTGCTTGCTTTTTGTATAATCTATCTATTACAGTTTGTGCATCACCTCCTTGAATTTCTTTCATTTTCTTCCTTGATATGTAATTGTAGTTGTCAGTCATAGTGTGTCCAACAAGTTCTTCTCCACCAGCTTCATTACTTATTAACATAAATGCATCTGTTGTTCTTAATCCACTATCTGCCATTAGATCAATGACTTTTACTTTTTCCTGTGTTATCTTTCTCTCTGATCTATGTAAATGCTGCCAAACACTTCTTGTCAACTCATGGTTATGTGCTATAACATGTTTTTCAACTACAAACATTCCATCTTTGTTTTTTTTTTGCTCTAATGAATGCATTACAACCAGCCCTAGTATTAGGTACTTGATGTGTTCTTTTTTTTTCATTTGGTGCACGAGGTGTTTTTCTTACTTTTGGTACACATTTAAACCCTTCTTTAGAACATACAAAATCCTTTCCTTTAATTTCTCTGTGTTTTCCTTGTGAATATCTTGTTGTTGAATGTCTGATATGACTTATTTGGACTTCTGGATCAAAGATATGTTAATTTACGAATTGTTTCACGTAATTTGTTAATTTACGAATTATTTCATGTTATTTGTTAATTGTCGGATAACTTATATATAATTTATTATTATGTTGTTGCTTGATTTTTATTGTTATTGCTTGATCACACCTTTTATGCATGTTTAAAGGGAATTGGTACTTGTAATCACGCTTAATAAGATAATTAATAATCTTGTTTAGGGTTAATTTGATTATAATTCAAGTGATCGCCAATAATAGTTTTATTTGTGCATTAATATTCAACCAACATAGATTAAACATGTTTAGGGTTAACCTAATGATTGCATGTTAGTCAGAAAACGCACATGAATACTCTCGCTTAACACATATTTAAAAAAAAAAATTGTGTGATTGATCTGGAAGAAGAATCGAGTCATGAAAGGTCCCCCGTAATTGGTGGTAGAAGGGAAGAGGGGGAGGAACCTCCATGGGAGAAAAAGTGAGGTTTCGTTTCTGGCGCTCGGAGGTTTAAGGGTTCTGATTAAAAACTGAATGCGGATTTTGATTAAAAAGTTTCGATTGAAGTGGTGCTTTAAGGGTGATACTGCCTTGACAGATGTGGGCTGCTCAATTGGTGATAGTTATTTGACTATTTGGAAGTGGCTGCCTAATTTCGTACCTGATGAAGAGCCAATACGTAATCTCACAGCTTGGGTTAGGATCCCAAATTTGTCAATGGAGTATATTGATAAGACATTTCTCCATAAGATTGGTTCAAAAATTGGAAGAGTTATTTGTATTGACAAGCATACAGAGTCTCAAAGTAGGGGCCAATTTGTGAGATTTAGTATTGAAGTCGATCTGACAAAACCTCTTTTGTCAAAGTTCCGTTTTAATGGAAGGATTTGGCGTATTCAGTATGAAGGATTGAAACTCATTTGTTTCAAGTGTGGCAAATTGGGTCACAAAGATGATCATTGTGAAGTTTTTTTGCAGACGAGCAGAGTAGCAGGGGACTTAGGCCTGAAGAACATGATGACTACGGTTCATGGATGATTGTCCAAAGAGGTAATCGAAAGCAAAATCTCAGGGAGAAGCAAGAGAGTCATAAAAAATTTAGTCAATGCATCAAGAACATCCCTGATAGTCCTGGTCAAGGGAGGAAAAAAGTCTCGGTTGTGAACAAGCCAGTTGACCAAAGTCAACAGAAAAGTCAAGGGTCAAGATTCAATATTCTCCAAAATGAGGAAGCAGAGGATAGTGTGCCTTCAATTTTGCCTCAAAATAAGGCTATTGAGAATAATAGTGAAAATCAGAAGAGTCAATCTCGATTGCCTTTGGGAAGCACAGTTAATTTAGGAGAGGATGAAATTATGGCAAATGTAGAAAATCTACAAGGCAATACCAATAATTTTGGTAAAGAATATAATGAGAATTAGGAGTCAGTTGTCCTCCTTGGGGAATCTCTGCAATCAGGGAAGGAAATCAACTTGGAAAATATTTCTTCGGAAAGTAATCATGGAAATAATTTTGAAAAAATTCCAATCACTGGAATTCTGGCAAAAAATATTGTTAACAAAGACAATATTAGGGAGTTACCTAAAATTAATCAATCAAGCGGAATTCGTACTCCCTTGACAGCACAAAATAATTCTGCTCTTGTTACTATTCGTGTAATTAGGAAACATTCCTTTCCTTATTCGAAGTCAAGGGGTTTGATTGGTAAGGAAAATTGGGTAGAAGTAGCTTCCAGTACTCCTTCTTCCCTACGTAAACCTTCTCAATCAAACTCTGTTCCTTTGACCGAGCGCAGTGATCATAAACCCGAGAGATGTTCCGATTACTCTGGAGATTCAACTTCCCCCGGGACCTTCAATTCATTGGTAACGAGTCACCCCTTAGACAACAAGATGTCCCTCCAATTCACGGCCTATCTTCCTCCGGAGCACAACTCGCCGGATTTAATGGCTACGTTTCAGATTCCAATGGGTCCTATGAAAACGCTCAGGGACAAGTTTCTGGCTCTTTTGCCTAGCCCCCCTACTCAGGTGTATGACAGCTACCCCTCTTTTCATAAGGTTAATATGTCAATTAAAATAATATTGTGGAATGTATAAGGAGTAGGTAACAAATTGGTTGTTATTAAAGAATTAGTGAGGATTAATAATCCTTCTGTTTTGGTATTGGTGGAGACTCACATTAGTGGTCCTCAAGCACAAGCAGTTTGTGATCGTATAGGCTTTTCGGGGCAAGTTCGTGTCGATGCTCAAGGTTTTGTAGGGGGGCATATGGGTCTTTTGGCTTACAGAGGGTTACTACTATGGGTAGCCATACTCAACATGTGACTGTGGAGGTGCGTAAAATGGTGAAGATCCGTGGCTTTTTTCAGCTGTATACGCTAGTCCAGATAGTACTCTCAGGAATGATTTATGGAGGGAATTAGAGAAGATTAAGGAGCAGCACTCAGGCCCGTGGTTAGTAGCAGGGGACTTTAATGAAACATCAAGCATGACGGAGAGGAATGGGGCAGGAGGTGCTGCTATGTTTCACAGGTGTCGAAATTAAATTTTGCAAATTGGATAGAAAATATGTAGCTTATTGATCTAAATTGCTCTGGACCCGAACATACATGGTTTCGGGGTAACTCCCCGGAAACGTTCAAATCGGCTAGGTTGGACAGAGGCCTAGTTAATGAAGAATGGAGGCTTCGTTTCCCTGAACGTGCTGTTAAAAACTTGCCAAAAACTCGTAAACATTGTCCTATTTTGGTGAGTACATCGGGTTTTGCCCCCATCCCTACAGCTCTTAAACCTTTCCGCTTTCAAGAGGCATGGATGAACCATTCGGCTTTTGATTCCTTTGTGCGATCTAAGTGGAATGTGAAGGCTCCTCTTATTCCTTTTCTGAAAAATTTTGTTGATCTTTTGAACCAGTGAAATAGGGAGACTTTTCACAATATTTTTCGGAAGAAGAGTGAACTATGGGCTAGGATAGAAGGGATTCATAAGCGACTAGCCCAAGGGCAAGACCGTCACTTGATTAAACTTGAAGCTTCCTTGAGAAGAGAGATGGATGGTGTATTAAATCAGAAGGAGCTTTTGTTGGAGTTGAGTATGTTGGAGATGATTGGTCATTATTTATTTTTGACCTTGGTTTTATTAGGATTTGGCTCCCTTAAGCATGGCTTTTCTCTCACATTTCTCAAATATTCCCTACCCTTTACCCTAGTCTTACATTACAAGCTTTAAAGATCTTCCGACCTTTGTAAATAGAGTTGTGTGAATGTGAAAGTGTTGTTTATCAATGCAAGGAATGATTGACATATTCCGAGTCGACTACTAGGTTGAGTGTATGTCTTTTTAAACACACGAGTGTTGTGAGTTTGGGAGGGAATTGTTCACATTAAAGGGGTTGGGATGGAGAGCGATCAAGTACATCTTTTTCTCGCCACATAAATGAGAGTTAAGTGTGTGAGCACTAGTCTTGACTTCTATATGCTCTTGTGGTTTGCTCTACTTGACAATTGTTAGGGAGGATGAGCGATTGGATGAATGAGATTGGTTGATGTTGAAGCATGTTTGTTAGATTTGCCTTGTATTGTTTGTTCTTGATTTTGATTATTTGGGGTGAGACATGTTTTATTTATTCATTGATGAACTCTTTGCTTAGGGACAAGCAAAGGTTTGGCTTTGGGGAGTTTGATATATCTATTTTATATAGTATTTTACCCCCGTCCCTTTATCATAATTGGTAGTGTTTTTGGCTTTTTAGAGCCTCTTTTATTACTAATTGGTGTTTTCTAGTGTTTTCGTAGTTTTAGTTGAGTTTTGTAAGGAATTACAATTTTGGAGTATTTTCCCGAGATTTTATGGAGCGACTACGAGCATTGGAGGAGCACGGCCACTTTTTGTAGCCCAAGGCCGATTGGAGTCATCAAACCGGTGATTAAGGGCTCGACATATAAAATTCTGAGGCATTTGTACCGAGTATTCAAGACCCGAAGAGGAAATCCGGATTGAGACAAAGGATCGGTTCCCAATCGAGAAGTCCAAGTTGTCCAAAGATCGTGGCTCGGTCAAAGAGTCCCTCGCCCGAAGGCGCGCCCGACCGGGCGGGGCTGATGAGGAAAAAAATAGTCTCGCTCCCAAGCTCGTGCCCGGCCGGGCACGAGAGAAGACCCTTGATGAAGAAAAGGCGGGCACGATCAAGCAGCCCCTCACCCGATCGGGCGCGTATTTAGTGAGTTGCTTATCGGCGATATTTGCTTAGTTTCTAATTAGGATTTTAAGAGCTTAGTATAAATACGTTTTAAGTCGTTTTGATACGATCACCTCTTCTCTTAGACTTTCTCTCTCTACAACTTTATACTTAGTTCTTAATTCAACTCTTTAATTCTGATTACTTTGGTAATGATTTCTTCTCCTTTAATTTCAGTTATTTATTTTCTCTCTTTCATCATGACTTGTTTATCAATTGTTTTGGTTAGTTTATCTTTAATTATGCACGAGTAGTTTAATTCTAGGATTCTTGGGGATGCATGATTAATATGAAGGAGTAATTATTGTTGTTGATTGTCAATGCTTGATTAATTTCCTATTGAATGATTTATTGCTATGCAACTAGAGTAGCGCTGGTCTTTAAAGTATGAGTTTAGCAGTATTGATTCGAGATTCGA